TATATATATATCTACTACGCCCCTCCTCTCCCACTCTACACAGTATATATATATATATATATATATATATCTCACCCTGCGCGTGACGGTGGGGTCCTGCCGCGCCACGGCCAGCAGGTGACCCAGCAGTGTCTTGGAACGCAGCAGACGCAGCCGAACATTCGTCGCTTCCGTGAACTCCTGAAGTTCCTTCGAGTGAGAGAAGTTCATCGCGTTCGGACGGTTGTTCACGAGCGAGATGACGATCTGCAGAGAGGTCAGAGGTCGCATTATTTGGGCAGGTCGGTTGTTCGCGAGAGAGATGACGCATGTCTTTCAATAGGTCAAAGAGGTCAACCACCTAGCACTACTAATTCATGTCCAGTGCCAATTCCCTGTTGAATTCTAATGCCAATTCCCTGTTGAATTCTAGTGCCAATTCCCTGTTGAATTCTAGTGCCAATTCCCTGTTGAATTCTAGTGCCAATTCCCTGTTGAATTCTAGCGCCAATTCCCTGTTGATTCCCGGCACAACACCCAAAAAAACAACCCGCCCACCCTACCCCCGCCCCCGCCTACAAAAATGCGCGCTCACCTCACCACCCTCTAGCGGGATGACCTTGGAGAACTCGGTCGTGCAGATGACGCTGTCGTCTTCCGTGATTGGTTCGTTGCTGGCGAGGTTGAAGAAGTGGAGGCAGTCGCCGGGTGAGTCAGCAAAGTACTGCCAGGGGTCCCAGCTAACACCTGCAGGTGGAGCCACCAGTGTTACATAAATACAGCCTGACACACACACATCCAGACAAGAAGCCGTGAGCAGATACTATGTGAAACAGCGCTGGGAAAAAAGCTACACGCACATATTAATTTGTGTGCGAGTGAAACGCCAGCATGACAAGGACCACAGCCCGGCAGCCACGCACGGCCGGCTAACGATGTCCGCCAGGTGGCGTTGCAGCGGCGGTGACCTTACCGTTGTCCTTGGAGCGCTCCAGAACCCAGACTCCCGGCCGCGGCGCATTACCCATCTTCATGAAGACGTAGGCAACGTGGAACTCCTGCAAGAGAGTCAAACACCAGCTGTGAGCTTCATGTGCAATGACTACAGCAAATAATTTTATTAATTAGTAGTTCATTATAGCAGGAAAACCCACTTTGATGGATGGACCGTCTTTGTGCGGCTTCATAAATCATTCCTCCTACTCTGGCCAAAATATTATACCAATCTCAATGTAAACGTGACCCCTCCCCCCCCCATACCGGCTACATGCCCCCACCTCCTCCTTCAACCACGGCGTTCGTAGACAAGATATAGTTGTAAGTAAGCAAGCAAGTAAGCAAGCAAGGAGGGAAAAAGCGTTGAGCGGCTTTTTGCACCTAATTTCTACGCGTGGGGAAATAATAATGAACATTATGAACATTCATCAACCGGTAGAGGTCGCCATTGTTTCTGCAGCGACCCGACATTTCACGACGCGTTATAATTATCAAATCATGAATCATTCACGATTCTGATAATTGAAAATTCCTCGCTACCGCCCGGCATCTCTATCCTCGCTTCTCTCTCTGTCTCTCTCTCTCTCTCCGAGAGCGAGAGCGAGAGACGAGAGCTAGAGAGAGAAGCGAGAGCAGAAGAGCGACGAGCAGAGAGCGAGAGAGATGAGCGAGAGCGAGAGAAGAGAGAGAGAGAGAGAGAGATCGAGAGGAGAGAGACGAGAGAGGAGGAGAAGATATGAGAGGAGAGAGTACATACGACACTGAGAGAGAGAGAGAGGAGAGAGAGAGAGAGAGAAGAGAGCAGAGAGAGCAGAAGATGAGAGAGACGAGACGGGGGCGCGAGAGCAGAGAGAGAGAGAGAGAGAGACGAAGAGAGAAGAGATGCAGAGAGAGATTTGCGTGTCGTGAGAGAGAGAGAGAGAGAGAGAGAGCAGAGAGAGAGAAGAGAGAGCGAGAATAGAGAGATTGAGACGTAGAGAGGAGAGAGGAGAGAGAGAGAGAAGAAGAGATGGAGAGCAGAGGCGAGAGAAAAGAGGAGAGAGAGATGGAGATGAGATGAGGAGAGAGAGGAATGACGACCCCGAGCGCACCATGCAGTGTGGTGAAACGGAGATGAGAGAGACGAGATGAGAGAGAAGAGAGAGAGAGAGGCCGAGCGTCGTGATT